CGGTGACCTCACCTTGACCACACCTTGACAGGCATGGCCAGGCACACCTGTAACCAGCCTCTAACAGGCGTGGCTTACTGTCCCTTACATTTATACTGTTGTCAGTATAACTTTCTTTTTATACATTTATGGTATATTTTAGAATTCAGTGACCTATGATGATGTGCATGTTGACTTCACTCAGGAAGAGTGGGCTTTGATGGATCCTTCCCAGAAGAATGTCCATAAAGATGTGATATTGGAGACTAAAGGAACCTTACCATAGGTAAGACTATGAATTTTCCTTCACATTTTAAAATAAGGGGCAACTGTTTCTTGGTTATTGATGCTCTTCTGTATTACAATTGAAACTGAGCAAGGATGATGTGAATGAATCAGGCATGTTTGTAAGGTTCACTGAAGATAACAACTTAAATGTTGCACAACTTCCAATAATATATCAGACGTTTTCTGGTACTATATTTTAGGCTACACAGAATGCAATTTTTTTCAACTCTTTTTTATTTGAATTAGAAACAGGATTGTGTTACATGACAATCCCAGTGCCCTTCTCCCTCTCGTCCTCCCCTACCAACCCCCCCAAACTAAAGCCCTATCTATCACATATCCTTTCTGCTCGCCGTGGATGGTGAGGTTTTCCATAGGGTGTCATCAGAGTCTATTGTATCCTTTGGGATAGGGCCCACCCCCATGTGTCTTGGCTCCAGGAGTATTCCTCTATATGGAATGGGCTCCCAAAGTCCACACCTATGCTAGGGATAAGTACTGAACTCCTACAGGAGGTCCCATAGATTTCCGAGGTTCCCTCACAGAAACCCATGTTCCTGGGGTCTGGATCAGTCCCAGGCTGGTATTCCAGCTATCAGTCTGGGGAGCAAGAGTTCCCCGATGTTCAGGTCAGCTGTTTCTGTGGTTTTCACCAGCCTGGTCTGGACCTCTTTGCTCTTCACTCGTCCTCTGCATCTGGGTTCTAGTTCAGTTCGGTGATTAGTTGTGGGTGCACAGATTGCAATTTTAATGTGCAAGCTAATACAAGTATACCTCAGAAGAAATTTTAAGGTGTGGAAGTTTTAAAGAAAGCAACAGTGTAATTCAGCACAGCTTAAGGTGCATTGATGATTATTAAATTCTCACAGAACCATATACCAATGCTTTCAGTTTCATAGCATTCATATTACATAAGGTATACACATTGAATAAGTAATAAATACACGTCCAAAACCTTCTAATAAGCATATGGTTAATAGTAAAGCTTGTGTTATTCAACTGCTTGTGACTTTGCTAAGCTTAGTGAGAGGAGGGGGTAGTTAGATTCAAGAGCTAAGGGCGGGCGACTGTTGTGGAGAAATCTTACTCTACACCATATGTCTGTGAGGAACAGAGTTAAATGCTTCGAATCCAATGTGGACATCTTTTGTTTGTTATTCTTCCTTTATTAGGTATATCATATGTCAGTCTTGATACGAGCCATATGAACATAGGAATATCAAAAGAAGCAACATACCCATCTCTCTCTAAGAAAAATTAGAAGATATGTAGCAGCCCCCTATTAGAATAGATTTGTTGAATGTAATGCAAGTTTACAAGTAATTGCTTTTCCAGCTTTCATTGGAAATACATCAACAAACACACACTTCATAAAATCCCTATGTGTTCTAGGAATGTACATATACTTCTGTTTGTCCTGTTTTGCTTTACAAATGTAGTATGACTCACACTATGGGACAATTTATGAGTTTTTCCAGTTATCATCAAATATGTGAAAATGTCATATAGAAAAAAGATGTTATAAATGTGAGCCATCACAGGTATTTTCAAAGATCCAAAACCACCCTTAATGAAGGGGAGAGCAACATGAGTGTAAACAGTGATAAAACCTTAAGACCTGATTTCTCTTTACAATTATACCAAATTATAAAATTAATTCATACATATATATTCAACAGTGTAATGGATGTGTTAAAATTTTTAACTATGTCAATTATGAAAGAAGTCATACTGCAGAGAAACCATCTGAATATTCTCAAAGTGTTAAAGCCTATGCATATCATGATCATCTTCAAAGAAATGAAAGACTCCATACTGGAGGGAAGCCCTATGATTGCAATCAATGTGTGAAAGCATTTGCATATCATAGTCGTCTTCTAAGTCAGAAAATAACTGGAAATAGGGAGGAAAACCCTATGAATATAACCAATGTGGTAAGGCCTATGCATATAAGTCTTCTATTGTCTAAAATAACCCATCCTGGAGAGAAGCTTTATGAATGTAATTTATGTGGTAAATTCTTTTCACAGGACAGTAGTCTCCAAACACATAAAAAAACACATACAGGAGAGAAAGAAACCCTATGAATGTAGTCAATGTGGTAAAGCCTTTCATGTCACAGTTTTTTTTCAACTTATAAAAGAACATATTGGGGAGAAACTCTGTAGTCAATGTGGTAAAGCCTTTGTACATTATTGTAGTCTTTGAAATTATGAGGAAAAAAATCATACTGCAGAGAAACTATAAATGTAGTCAGTGTGGTAAGGTTTTACACTTTGTGGTGGTTTGGTCATTCTGTTACAGCCTGTTCCTATCACAGTAGTCTTTGAGTACCTGAAAAAACTCATGTAGAAGAAAGTCTGGCTATAAAGGATTTCATAAGATCTTTAGCAAACACATTTCAGTTACTCAAGAGTATTACGGAGAAAATAATTCCACAGTGTCAACAATCTGTTTAAGCAGTATAATGCCCATCTTTATTTTGTTTGCACTTGCAAACTCATATGGACAAAGCCCTACAAATTTAAATGATAAAGTAACCCTTTTAGATTTTCTCTTCAATGACATGAAATAACTAATCCAGGTATAAACCTTTATGAATTTTTTGTGACTTTCTGTTACAATAAAACATGTTTACATCAACTCATGGAAGAGTTTGAAACTTGGTTCCAGAGGAATACAGGATCACCATGAAAGTGGCATGGCAACAGGTGTCAGACATGGCTGCTTAGCTCTCACTCACATCCTCGACCTGCAGCATGAACCAGAGAGTGGGAACTGGAAATGATGTGCCAATGTAAATTATGAAAACATGCCTCCAGTGACATATTTTCTCTAGTAGGGCTTCATTTCCTAAATCATCCCAAATGATACCACCTACTGAGAAGTATTGATTTCTCTGACTTCAAGACTACATGCTTGCTTTCTGTTATATGAAGCAGTTCATGATACTGAAAAACCGTAGGTAAGCCTTTATGTGCCTCAACATCTGGGTTACAGGAATGAATGCTTACAAAGAAAAATAGTCAGGATTGAAAATGTTCAATGATTTTTGTTAATTTTTATTTTGTTATGTCAGTGTATCTTCAGATATGTGATTAGATTGGCAAACCCTTTAGTCTTCCTGTATTTATTTCTATCAGGAATTATAGAATGTTGTCAAAAGCCTCACCTGGATTCTGGGCAGGGACTTGTCTTAACTGATTGGCCCTGTCTTTTTCCTTCTCAATATTTTAGACCATTGGATGCTCTGTATTAGGAATTACTGGAAGTGGTCAAAAACCTGACCTTGGTCCTGGGAATGAACTTTTAACTGCTTGGCTATGTCTCTAGACCCAACTCAAGCCTCGCCTGATACCCACAAGCATGTATTTTAAAATCACTCTGGCTGCACACACAGCTCTGGGGAAAAAAAATCCATGAAATGGTAGGTCATGATGACTAGTCTCTGGAAAGTGTTTTTATTACTAGTTTCCAAAGAATGTTATTATCTTCAACAACTGCCTGGTTTCTAAAAATTTTTATGGGTTACCCTGCTCCAGAGCACCAACGTTTTGAAAATAAGTATAAGTAACTCTGTTCCCAGAAAAACCACTGGCTGCAGGTGTAAAAACCAAAATAATATTCCAAACCCCTCATGGGCAAAATTGTAAGTTCAGTTCCCAACCAATCAGTAAATGACTCATGTATGTTATAGCCAATCAATATGTTGTCACACTCCTGCCTAGTGATGAAAAAGGTATAAAAACTGTTTGCTTTGGAAACTCAAGGTCATTCTCTTCCCAGGAAATGACACCAATGCGATGGAATATAATCCTTCCTCTTTTGCATTGAAGTTTTTTCCTGTGAGTGACTCCGTGGGGCACATTTTCCCGAAGTTGGACCCCCCTTTTGGGCCCAACAATATTTTAAACATTTATGTGTTATCTTGACATTAAAAAAACAAGGAAGAATGAGAAAAATCTTGTTCATGAAAACAATATGGTAAAGATTTTACATATCACAATTAACTTCAGTTTCAATTAAAAAATCTGTTTCATCTATTTCATTATACCCTTGAAGCAAGTAAATTGTTTACCACATTCATGCAAGTATGATGGTTGTGGTCAGAGTATTGTGGTTTGCATTTTTAAAGTTTTGTAGAAGGTATCAAAGTGTCCTGTAAATGTGGCAAATCTACTTATTGAAGTTTAGTTGCTGGTTCATTGACTCTGTTCATCTTCTGTAGTGTTTTCACTTTGTGATAGGCATTTTTCTGCTGAAATGTATAGAATGTGTTGCCCATTATCTAAGTG